AACATCGAGTTGGTAGAGAGGCCAACCCCGAATAGCGGCCACAGCGAGAAGAGAACGAACAGTCACCATTTTGGCGACTGGGGCAAAGGTCTCCTCAAAATCCACACCATACTCTTGAGTGAACCCCTGAGCTACCACTCGAGCCTTAAACCGCTCAATAGTACCATCAGGAAGAACCTTCAGGGCATAGACCCATTTGCTACCCACCACTGGAATCTCAGGAGGAGGCCGAGGTACAACGTCCCAGGTGTCATTGGCATGAAGAGCAGAAATCTCCTCGGTCATAGCACCATCTCAGCGAGGATCACCCTTAGCCTGAGAATACCGAGTGGGAACAGAAATAGGATCCACCTGGAATGTGACATAATCTTGAAACCGGGCTGGTGGTTGCCCAAGAGTAGAGCGAAGTGAGCGACGAGGAGGAGCAGCCTGGGGTGGAGACGGGGATGGCGAGGAGTCGGAGAAAGTTGATGACTCGGTGGGGGCAGGAGAATACGGCGGACTAGGTGGGGGCGTAAGGTCCAGAGGCACATCTTCACCACCACCATCATCATCATCAGGGAACGAGGGGAGACTCAAGGAAGTGTTGAAGAGAGGAACAGGCTCAAACGACGAAGAGTAATACATGAGATTTTCAAAAAAGACGACATTACAAGCAACACGAATACGTCGGAGAGAGGGATCATAACATAGATAGCCCTTATGAACATCGCTGTAGCCAAGAAACACACAACGGGCAGTCTTAGAGGACAACTTGTGACGTTCAGACCGAGGAAGGAGAACAAAGCATAGACAACCAAAGACTCGAAGACGCGAGTAAGGAGGATGTTTATGAAAAAGTTTGAAATATGGACTCTCTTGACCTAACACAGGAGAAAAAGGAAACCTAGACAACGAAGCGACACAAGGGTGAGATGAGGATGACGGAGATGGCGATGATGATCCAAGGTGGTCAAGATAGAAGATGCGCCCTCGCTTATTGCCCCGGCCGATCTCCTGCCCCGTCTTCAGATCCTGCACAGAACATCCAGAGGGTGCAAACACAACACGACACCCTTGCCCAGTAAGCTGACCAACAGAGACTAAGCTAGGTACAAGCTTAGGTACATAAAATGTGTTTGATAAAGACATATTCTGATTCTGTACATGGCCGACTCCTACTACAGGTAATTGATTTCCATTAGCTACTTGAAGTGCAATATCATTAACCGGATTCATGTTCGATACCTCAGAAATTTTACTCGTCATATGATTGAAGCACGCAAAGTCTAAATTCCAGTGGGGAGACTTACCGGACACTTGGAGGCTAGCAAAGGCGGAACTAACAGCTTTACTAACTAGTTGTTCCAAAGCGGCAGGAGTGACCAGAACCCCTCCATCATGATCCGCAACTTGGGTGGCAAAGGCTGGCCGACCCGCCGCGAGGAGCTGCTGAAGTGGTGGTGTTGCCGCCATCATTGGACCTTGCTGCACGTTGCGGAAGAGAAGGACAATCGGGAACGATGTGTCCCGTTTGTTTACAATACACACAGTAGTTTCTTTTGCGGCAGTATTTCTTGGTGTGTCCCCGAGCATGGCAATGATGACACTCGACGTCGACGAGCTTGAGCAGACCGATAAGCTGCAAAGGCAGCCTCTGAAGAGCCATCATCACCGCTGCTAGTTTGGTCAGGACGGCCCTGGCTGTGGGACGGCGGTGGCATGCGTGAGGAGGACCCTTTGCCCACGGCAAAAGCAGCGGGATCGCCTTGGCCGGGACGAGCATCAAGTGCTGCTTGAGTTCGCAGCCTTGTTTCTTCGCGAATAAGGGCGCCCAGAACCTGTTCAAGCTGCAGCCCTTCTCTGTTCAGCAAGGTGGATCGAACAGACTCATAGTCTGGACGTAGACGAGCCAAAAACTGAAGAATTCTGGTCTTGTTCTTCTCGGCCCTGACTTCGGCAGATGCAGCGCTGGTGAGAAGAGTCGTAGCCAAGAGATCCTGCTCAGTCCACAGGAGCTTGGCGTCGTTGAAGTATGTCGTGACGTCCTTGTCTCCCTGATGCAGATTTCCCAACTCCACTTCGATTTCGAACTGGCGCGCGACACTGGTGGTGGCATAGGTATTGCGCAGGGCCTTCCACATCTCAGCAGACGTGGGAAGAAGTCGCAACCCGAGCACGATCGTCGGATCCACTGATTTCAGAATCCAGGAGCGAACCCTAGCATCTGATTGCATCCACTTCAAAACTTCTTGATCGGTGGCAGGAGGGGCAGCTGGTTTTGGCGTCGTGCCATCAAGGAAACCGAAAAATCCTTGACCTTCGATAAACGTACGGAATTGGAATTTCCATAGTGCAAAGTTCTTCGAGTTCAGCCGGGTACTGATGTTATCGGAATCCATGGCAAGCTCTGATACCATGTTAATCGATACGTAGATGATCGTAACGGATACGTAAACAGAAACGAGATGAGATTTATGTGGTTTCCTTGTTCGTTATGAACGAACAAGACTAGTCCACGGGAATAGATGTTCTTTCTTATTTTCCCTGTTTCTGCCGGCTCCAACCCTAGCTATCTATATACAGAGACTCGGCCATACATCAATTACCCTAGCCGAGCCTACTCACAACTTTGACATAACTAATGGGCCTAGTCCATAAGCTTTACAACCAAGGCCCTGTACAATCCGCAACATATAACTCAACATAAAGATGAAGAACAATAAATAATCAAAGCACAAAGTATACATATTTATATAAAAAAGGTAAACAATTCCTTCATAACCCCTCTTCAATCCCACCTCATATTGTGCAAAAATAGAACCACAAGAGATGCATGCAAAAGCCCCAAGTATTTGTCAATTGCTGGGAATAGTGGCATCATTGATTCGATTATGTATAGCTAACAAAGTTGTCAACCCGTGGATTGACCCTGACCCGGACCCGGTCGAGTTAGTGGGTCAAGGGTTAATGGGTCACCCTTTTAAGCCGGTTTAGCCCACAAATATGGAAATATTCATTATATTGTATTTATTCTGATAAATTATATCAAATCTCATCTAACATGTGAGTTATAACATATAATACACCAAAATAAGATGTCGTACTTAGATCCAACATATAGTGAAAATTCACAAACACTTATATAACATAAATATTCAAATGTTCAACTTAGGATTCCAAAGATTGAGTTAGGCGAAAAGAAAAAGTCGATCCGACGAGTGCGTGCAGCCCGTTTTTCTCACTAGGCCTGGGGTTGAACTCAGAGGGGGAAAAAAACCCAGACACAATTCCTATCTAATTTTACGAGATGGATTCACGTACGATCCCCATCACCCCATGGAAACAACAGAGTGCAATGCAGTAAGAGAGTTCAAATCCAAATGAATTTTGCCCAAAAAAACCAGACCACGTCCATAACTTATCAGCAACGCCACTAACAAGGAGAAGACTCCTTCCAAATTCTTACATTCTAACAGATCTGTCCATAAAAGGATCTGACTGAGTGACATGCATGGTATCTCCACTTGAGTTTCTTTACTTTCTGGTTCAGAGACCCAACAAAAATAGATACGATTTACCCGGAATCCAGCAATTTCGACGGAGGGATGACGCTGGAAGGAGGTGGAGAGACGAGAATTAGACCCACGGATCCAGATTCTTTGTCCTCTCCCATTAGCGGAGATGAAGTTGCAAGGAAGAAGAAGATGCCCCTCCAAGAAGAAGATTGAACTAATTAAATTACCTTCGGGTTTTTTTTCTTCCCGTTTTTACTAAGGGGGTTTTCTCCAATTGATCATAGAATGAATGGAATTTTGGTAGTTTCCTCGGTACGATAAGAGATCGAGAGAGGCACAGAGAGACAGAGAGAGTTACGGTTGTTATAAAAAAATTGATGGGTTTTCTTCAATTTGATCGACAAACAGGGGATACAATTTCCGTTCCTGGTGGACCCGATGATGGTGGAAGCTTTGGTCCTTCGAGAGGCAATTGTCTGGTGCTTGGCAAACGGATTCACTGAAGTTAGGTTTGAAGGTGATGCCCAGGTGGTAGTAGAGAAGATCCTTCGGAAGGATGTGCATGATACTCGGATTGGGGCAATTATGGTGGAGATTGTCATTTTTTTTTTGCCTCCAATGAGGGTTTTTCTATACGATTTGTTGGATTTGTCATCTGGCTCTTCACCTTCAGATTCATCCGACATCAGAGCATCCCCTTCTGGAATCGCATCCGGCGGACTGTTTCCTAGAAAGGAATCCTTATAGGACGCCTTCACCCTGCCCAATTCTGTCTCCATCTCCTTAGGCTCCGTTTGTTCGTCCTCCTGGGGGAGAGTTCCCATTTCAACTGTATTATCCTCTATAGCTGTCGAAGTGTCGACTGCAAAATCCATTTCCCTATCTCCAAAAAAACCCTCGCCCTTGCTGGCTCTGGCTCTCTTGCTGGGCTGGTTGGGCGTCTTCGCCGGGGATCCATCCGGCGGCTTCAAGCAGTGATCCACCTCCACCATGGGAGGCATGCCCCCAGCGGTCATCGGGGAAAAGCAACGGGCAGAACCAGAAGAGAGAGGTGAGAGCAAAAAAAGTACCTTTCTTTCTAACTTCAATATACCCACTTATGTATCCTTTATTAAAGGAGTATAACAGTCTTCGATCTCTAGAAGCGAGTCCTTCGTTCTTCCGAACTTATCCACGAGCGTCTTGCAATGGGTTTCAGTGGTTGCTGACAACAAAGTCATTCGCGTGTGTGCTAATTGCATGTCCTGTTTGAAAGTCTTCGGCTCAACTAGCTTCGACGACCATCTGATTCTCTCTCGACATACATTTGCCAACTCGAACTGACCAAATCCCGTGGATCACAATTCATGATGGGTCTATAGAGGATGAATGAGTAAATTCTAGATCGTTACGGTTATGTACCATTGTACACTTGATGATAGTTGTAGTTACGAGCAATTTGGCTATTTATAGTGAATGAAAACAATAATAATAAAAAAAGATGTACAAACAAAAGTAGAAAACATATAAACAAGACGATGAACCTACCCATCTGTGGAGAAAGCTGCCGCATTTTGTACTGAATTCGCTGTGGGGAGGTTCAGAGAGCAAAGAACCTGCAACTCCCCATCTTCCCTCAACAACAGCATAGCAGTACATCGCCCGATTTTGCTGGTAAATTCTTCCTTTTCTAGATTATACTCTGCTCTGCGGCTTCTTCCATTCGGAGTCCAGGGTTTTTACTTGTGAATGGACGGCACAGGGAATGATGGTGTGGTGTGGTGGTTGAGTGGCAATTCTTCCCTATTTAGTTTACTCTGTTCTGCTAATTCTCCCATTTTGAGTCTAGGGTTTACTTGCGAATGCATGGTACAGGGGAGGATGATGTGTGCTGGTAATTCTTCCTTCTATAGTTTGCTCTGCTCTGCTAATTCTCTCATTTTAACTCTAGGGTTTGCTTGTGAATGTATGATATAGGTGGTGATTATGGGCTGGTAACTCCCCATCTTCTCTCAACAATCTTCGTAAGCATATTGAGTACATCAAATTGGTTTTACTCGTAATTCTTCATTCCCTAGTTTACTTTGCTCTGCGGATTCTTCGGTTTTGAGCCTAGGGTTTACTGGATTGAATGGTACAGGGGATGATAATGTGCTGGTAATTCTTCACTCTCTAGTTTACTCTGTTCTGTTAATTCTTCCATTTTGAGTCTAGGGTTTACTTTTGAATGATACAGGTCGTGATAATGTGCTGGTCATTCTTCCTTCTCTAGTGTACTCTGGTCTGCATATTCTTCCATTTTGAGTGTAGGGTTTACTTGTGAATGAAGGATACAGGTGATGATGATGCATAGGTGACTCGCTATGACACAACTCCTAACAATGGCCAAGTGTAACCAATGAAAGGGACTGCAGTATAGTGGCTCAAGTAATAAATATCGAATCCACGGGTCTCTAGAGTTACTATTACTCAGCTTCAGTTCATTATCTAGCAAAACAAATTAAGATGAAAGAACTAAAACTACTCTAGCAAACTACAGTTAAAGTTAATCTAATTACAGGTTGGGAACTCACTTAGGTATGATTCCCCCTAGCCACTAGCCAGATTAACGATTGATGATCTCTAACTTGTTTCACTTTCATTCACAATGCGGAGAATCCTTGACTAGACCTTGAGTCTCGACTAAAGGAACAAGGCCCTCTTGAGTCAATTGCCTAGAGGGACGTATCCTTCTCTAGAACAATCGATCAAGGCGTTCTGAACTAGACTCCCTCTATCGAATGAGGTTCTCAATCGATACAAAATAGTGAATCAACCCTCGACTAAAGCAATCGATCCACTACTATCAATCTATGGTGCTCTATTGACCTAATCAGGTATTCGCTCTCATAGGATCAAAGCAGAATCAATAATCTCGACTAAAGCAGAATTGAATCGTGAAAACATGCATAGATTGAATATGAACTCAAGATTATCAAGTCAGAGTACTCATACAATCATCCAATCAAACAAACATAGCTAGGGTTCCTCAAACCCTAAGTGAAGGGAAGTTACTCCATAGAGAAGAGAGAAACTGCAGAAATCTGATCTAGATCTTCAATCTCCATCTCCAAGCTTGATTCCCAAGCTCCAATGGCGAAGAAATCCTCCAAAATAGCTCCAAGAATGTTCCCAAGTCGCTCTCTCTCTAGGTTTCGTCCCTTGGGTGTTTGGGATCCAAAACCCAGCTCTCCCTCTCCAAAAATCGCAAAACAGCTTTTATACCCGCTGAAACTCGCACCCCCTACTTGCACAGCTGTGCAAATTGAGGTTTTGGCCGTGCAGACCCCTTGGGAAACCCGCACGGCCGTGCAGAATTTCACACGGCCGTGCACAATTTCCAGCATGCACTCCTAAGCTTCGTTGATCTCGTTTGAGCTCGTTTGACCTCCGATTCAGTCGCCGTTTGATCCCAGACGCTCGTAGTCTAGTCCTCTTTCTTTTCATAACAAGCTTGCATGATTCTTTGTCCATAAAGTGAGGTAGAAATCCATTCTTCTTCAGGTCATGGCCGAGTTTCTTCTCCCGAATCGTCAATTGATCTCTGATTGACTTGAAACTTGCGCCTATACTTCACTTTATGTGCTAGGACCTGAAATGTGAGAAAGGAACACAACCTAGCATAAAATAGGCCAAAGACACGATAATTCAAGCTCAAACAATCAAGAAACAAAGGGGAAAACATGTGCAAATACCGAGTCATCAATAGGGTTATTGAAAGAGAAATGATCACTACTACAATGATAGCTTTATCAGGTTTTTTAATCATGGTCTCAGCTGTGTGCAACACGGCTGAGGTGGCAGCATTGTCCTTCAGCTACAGCAGCTTCGATCAATGCAGCGATTCCATCAAGCTGTACGGAGAGGTGTCTTGTATGAATTCCGGGATACAACTGACCGGCTTCGGGTATTACGTGATCGGCCAGGCCAGATACTTCAAGCCAATGCACCTTTGGGATGCCACCACGGGCGATGTCGCCAGTTTCACTACCACGTTCACCTTTGATATCAGCAGTAATGTTGACAGTAACAAAAATGGCAGTAGCAGCGAAGATGGGTCCTCGTCGTGCTGTGACGGTCTGGCATTCTTCCTGGCACCGCAAAACTACAGCATCCCAGTGGGTGGGGGAGCCAGCGGAAGGTTGGGGCTTATATATGCTAACCTCACCTATGACTCCGCATCAGAGAATCCATTTGTGGCTGTTGAGTTCGACACCTACAACAACGAGTGGGATGCGTGGAACGACAGCAGCCATGTTGGGATTAATATCAACTCTCTACAGTCTGTTTCCAGTAAAAGATGGAATTATAATGGCAATGGTACTCGTCGAATGCGTGCGCGAATTTCCTACAATAAGGATGCCAAAATGATGTGCGCAAGCTGGTTTAGTAGTAGGGATGATAATGATCAGTTCGAGTTCGAGAACACCCTTTGCTATGGAGTTGATTTGACAAATTACTTGCCTGAACAAGTAGTCTTCGGCTTCACCAGTTCAACCGCTTGGAGGTCTCATTCCCACAACATCAGGTCCTGGTCGTTAAATTCTTCCGATCCAGTCACTGCTCGGCCCAACACCACCACGAATACTACTACTACTACTATAGCAACACCAAACGGGTCATTTGGAAGAAAAGGCAGAAACAATGGCAAAAACTTGATCACTGGATTGTCCATACTAATATTGCTGGCCGGTCTTGCTCTTGCAGCTATATGGTTCTGTGTGTATAGGCGTTTCTGTTGGAGGCAGAATGCGGATAAAAGTCCGTTGGCTGACCGCGAATTGGTTAGCGCACCCATGCGTGGTGGTAGCGAGGGGCAAGACAGCTCTAGTTCTGGTGGTAGTGCCATGAGATGACCTCGACCTCTTCACAGGATCAATGCCGGAGCGAAATACATCCCACCATATGTGGTTAGTCGAGCCACAAACAGTTTCATTGAGGTGTTGGGTAGAGGTGGGTTCGGTGAAGTTTACAAAGGAAAACTGGACGGTAGAGTTGTCGCGGTGAAGAAACTGTTCTAGGTGGTGGCGGCTGGTGGTGGGAGAGGGAATAAGGAGGGGTACATGGCAGAGTTAACCGTGATAACACAGTTGAAGCACCACAATTTGGTTGAACTACTAAGATGGTCATGCGGCAACTCGGGTGAGCTCTACTTGGTCTATGACTACATGGAGAATGATAGTTTGGACAGTCATCTATTCGGTCAAGAGCCTGGCCATCAACCGCTCACATGGGAAATCAGGTTCCGAATCGCCAATGATTTGGGTTCGGGGCTACTTTACTTGCACGGAGGGTGCACTGAATGCGTGCTGCATAGGGACATCAAGCCCGCTAATGTTCTGCTGGATTCTCGTTTCAGAGCCAAGCTGTCTGATTTCGGACTGGCTCGCGTGGTGGGACACGACGACCGTTCCCAGTCCTTGATCTACGGGAGCGAGGGATACCTGGCTCCCGAGGTTTTGGAGACTGGGAAGTCGACTAAAAGCTCCAACGACTTCAGTTTTGGGGTGGTGGCTCTGCAAATAGTTAGTGGGAAGTCGGCGTATGTTATCAACAATTCAGCCCAACGTCGTCACATTGTGGAGTGGGCATGGGGCCTATATGGGGAGGGTCATGTTGAAGCTGTAGTAGACCCTAAGCTAAATGGTGTGTTTGTGGAGGAACAAGTCTGTCGTTTGTTGGAAGTGGGTCTTCACTGTGCTCACCCAGATCCCTCCCGCCGGCCTCGGATGAAGGACGCCATGGATGCACTGAACTTCAGGGATCCATTGGCATTGGCCCCTCTGCCGTTGCAATATCCCACCAACCGTAGTTCCCAGGCCGGCCTCCTCCCTTCGCTGTCGCGAATCCTCGAAGAATCGCCGACAGTTTCCTCATTGCAGCAGCCAGTATTATCATCATCAGGAGTTGTTCCACTGCCACATGATCAGCCCGTCGCAAGTATCGCTAGAGCTCGGGCAGCTGTTTCCCGGCTCCATCGCACGGTCTAGGACCGCAGATTCCTTGGTGTGATTGCTGCTGCGCTGATCTTCTTTCGGCCAACTCCATTTCTGTGTTGGTTTTTGCAGAATTGGTAACTGTATATTGGGAGTGTTCATTCAATAGGGATATCTATGTATGGTTTCTACTGCACAGTTGGTTACTTAAGTTATTACCAACTAGGGGACTTTGGGCCGCACTGCGCAGCGGCCGAGGATGGGTTATGGGCTTTCAGTGCAAGTTCGTGTTCATTCAGTTTCATATATTTTAAATTTTATTTACCCATTTCTCCTTAAAGTGTTGCCCTAATTGAAGAACAAAACAAACTTGTGATTAATGTAAATGCTAAAAGAGCAAAGGGCTGATTAACCGTGGATGTCGATACACACACTTTACGACGGGCCCAAATGAAAAAGAAAGAGTCCAAAGCTCATTGATCCATTATCATTAGCTTAATTCTCTTCTTTTTTTTTAGAAAATAGATTTTTTTCCGTTGCCTAGTCTTTCTCCCTCCCCTCCTCTCCAATTCTCTCATCCTCTCATTCATTATCGTTGTTAAAATAAATTAGAAAACCTAAAATCTAAATCCACCACTGTAGTCTCACCACACCAAACCTTATCTTTGTCTCACGACTGCCCAACTTCCAGTCTTTCAAGTTCCATAAAAAATTAAAGATGCAAAAAAAATTTCCTCTTCCCCTCTCCTCTCCCTCCCACCCCCGTCGGTCCTAGACCTTGTCCTTCTCTTCCCAAACCCTCCTCCTACCTTCATCTAGCTGCTACTTTCTTTCCATCTTCATGTTCCCTCCAATCCCCTTCCCTTCTTTTCGTCAAGCCACAACTCCTCTTTATTGTAGTTTTGAGTTTGAATCTTGTATGTGTGATTTTTGTACCGATTTGCCTATTATTTAAATACTTGGTGACCTTGCCAATTCGAAGAAATATCTTCTTCTTTTCCGATCTAAATGTACTTCTTACCGCCGCTGGCACATGTGGTTCTCTTCTAATGCATCTTCAGAGTCAGCTCCGCCATCCGTCCATGCCGAAACCCTTTTCAGTCAATACGTGATTCGTTTTGGGTCACCACAGCTACAATTCCTCTCCAGTACACTTAAATGACATGCTGTCATTTTCTTCCCTCACGGCAGCTCAATTCTCAATGTTACAGAAGTGAGAAAATGCAATTGGTTTAGGCTTGACATGTTACTCCAACCCGAGTATCGATTTATATTTAGAAAAATAAAAAAATTGTAAAATCATACCGAAAGTCATGAAGGGAAAAGTTAGCATCAGGGTATTTGTACTAAAATCGTAGTTCAACCATGGTTAAATCAGACTTGACACGTTGTTTCAATCCGAGCCTCGATTTATGTTCAGAAAAACCAAACACGTAACTCCAACCCGAGTCTCGATTTATGTTCAGAAAAATAAATAAAAAATTGTAACATCATATCGTAAAAGTTAGCATTAGGGGTATTTGTGCTAAAATCGTAGTTCAACCGTGGTTAAAATCAGACTTGACGATGCTCCAACCCGACCCTCGATGTATCTTCAGAAAAAACTCAAGAATTGTAAAACCATATTGAATGTCGTAGCGGTAAAGTTAGCATTATGATATTTTATACTAAAATTGTAATTCAATCATGGTTAAATCAGGCTTGATACGTTCCTTCAACCCGAGCCTTATGTTAAAAAAAAAATGTAAAACCATATGAAGGTCATGACCTTCGTATTTGTGCTAAAATCGTAGTTCAACCGTGGTTAAAATCAGACTTGACGGTGCTCCAACCCGAGCCTCGATGTATCTTCAAAAAAAACTCAAGAATTGTAAAACCATATTGAATGTCGTAGCGGTAAAGTTAGCATTATGATATTTTATACTAAAATTGTAATTCAATCATGGTTGAATCAGGCTTGATACGTTCCTTCAACCCGAGCCTTATGTTAAAATTTTTTTTTTTGTAAAACCATACGAAGGTCATGTCGTAAAAGTTCGCATTAGGGCTTTTAAGCTAAAATCATAGTTCAACGCGATTAAATAGTTATATAGCTAAAATCACCTACTGATTTAGATTCTGTTAGGATTTTTTCTAATGGACCGCACAAAATGATAGGGGGAGGGGAGCTGGGGAGGGATGAATATTGATGAGGTGGATGGCTGGTATTGGGTTAAATTGGATTCTTGGTATCCTTTACTTTTCTAGTCTACAACTACAACTACAACTACGTATTAACAGTGTTTTTGCTTGGACTAAACGCAATACTATTAATCTAAGGCATCCAACTCGATGATATTATATATATGCATGGTTTTTTTTTTTATTAAAGGGAGGCTATTAAATCAGCCGAAGAGAAACCAATACACAGACAGGGACAAGGTTGCCAAACAGGAATGGAACCAGCCCAACGACCAAAAGATCACAGAGCATACAAATAGCCAAAAGAATCTGCAGAAGTAACCCGCTGGTCAGACTATCTGTTTCGAAGCACTTGCCTCGGGAAGCTTATTCCCATCACATCTTCACGAAGTAAAACATCCAAGCTTGCCGGAGGATTGTCCAATTCATACGTACCGAAGGGATAGACGAGACTGTGCTTCGAGAGCCAGTCCGCGACTCTATTCCCTTCCCTGTACGTATGAACCAGTTGAACCACCCAGCCTTGAGCTAAGACACGACGAATCTGTCCAAGGATCGTTGAGTAGGGGTGAACCTGATCGGAACGTTGCTTGATCAACTCTAGTGCCAGCTGAGAGTCGGATTCAAGAATCACGAACTGGCCTCCTTTCCGCCAAGCTAGCTGAAGCCCTTGGAGTATTCCCCACAGCTCTGCAAGAAGCGCCGAGCCAGTACCCAGCTTACTGCAGAACCCCCCAATCCAGTCTCCGTAGCAATTACGAATAACTCCTCCTGCCGTGGCCATTCCCGGATTAGTTTGAGCTGCTCCGTCTGTATTGATTTTCCACCACCCGGAATTTGGGGCGACCCAGCCTATTAGTGCTTCCTCTCTAGCAGGTTTCATGGTGTGAACTGACCTTGCTTCAGCTGCCTCCCAAGCTTTGGTCCACTCATGAGCCTTTGAAGTAACATAGTTGCAAAGCGTTGAAGGCGAGAGCTGGATGCCGTTGAAGACCTTGTCATTCCGGGCCTTCCATATGTACCATAAAACAAGACTGAAGAAAGATCCCCAGCTACCCCGCCAGCTACCTAGACTCTCATTCTGCAGGTTGGTAATCAGCCAGTCTTCATAGTTGGCGTTGAAGAAGCTTGCTTGAAGGGTGTTGGGAACTATTATGTTCCAAATCAATCTGACAGAATCACAATCCCGAAGACAGTGGAGACTTGTTTCAGGACTTCCCTCGCAGTTAGGACACGCATCATCAGAGGCCAGATGTCTAAGCTTTCTAACAGCATTAGTGGTCAGCTTCCCTTTAACGGCCAGCCAGACAAACATCCTCACTCGTTCAGGGACTTGAAGCTTCCAGATTTTCTGCCAAATAGGTTGTCGACTTGCTGTCTGAGAAGTCAAGGCCTTGTAGGCTGAGCTAGCCGAGAACTTCCCATTAGAAGTTAAGCTCCAGATTGGTCGGTCGTCTTTGGTGGCTAAGGGATCAACCATGACAGCCCGGATCTTGTCAACAACATTCGTGGGGAGAAGATCTTCAAACTCCTCTAGTTTCCATCCCTGCTCCACATCCCAAAGGTCCGCAACCCTCCAGCAAAGCTTGTCAGCTGCAATCTCCCCTGTAGCAAGCTCAACCAGAGGCACCTGCAAAACCCAAGGATCTGTCCAAAATTTAGCAACTTTACCATTCGATATATTAAAGGCATAGCCCTTTTTAACAACATCTAAGACAGAGGTGAAACTCCTCCAAGCAAAAGATCCTCCCTTTGATTTTTTGAGGGTTGCTAGTCCATCTTTGTCACGAGCATACTTGTCCTTTAAAACCGCCGACCAGAGGGTGTGATCATTGGAAGCCAATCTCCAACTTCCTTTTGCTAGCATGGCTTTGTTGGTTGCTCGAGTTGGTCTGATCCCAACTCCACCTTGACTCCTGGGCAAGGTTAATTGGTCCCAAGCAATCGGATGGAATTTAGTTTGATCCTCCTCTTCTCCCCAAACAAATTGCCTATTTATCCTGTCAAGAGAATTGCAAACGGACACCGGTAGTGATTCTGAAAACATGGGATAAATGGACATAGAAGTTGAGATAGATCTCACCAAGGTGACTCTAGCAGCCAGAGACAAATGCCGAGTCTTCCACAAAGCAAGCTTCTTTTGAATTTTTAGACAAATTTCCTTGTATCTCGCTTTTGTGATGCGCCCATTGATAGCATTGATACCCAAATATTTGCCTAAGTCATTCCTCAATGGAATAGCTGCCCTGTCGCTAAGTTGTTGTGCCTTCTGCCTGCTCACATTCGACGAGACTAACATTGCAGACTTTGAAAGGTTCACCTTCTGGCCAGAGCTTAGGCAGAAATCGTCTAAACATCTCCGAATGACATCAATTTGGCTGTTTGTGGCTTCTGCAAACAAGATGAGATCATCTGCAAAGAATAAATGAGAGAGCTTAGGTCCATTAGGTGAAAGAGCTAGAGGTTTCCATCTCTTTTCATCCACAGCTTGTTCGATGCAATGAGCTAATCTTTCCATACAAAGAACAAAGAGGTATGGGGATAAAGGATCTCCCTGGCGAACTCCCCTGGTAGGAGTGATAGACTCAGTTAGCTGCCCGTTCCAGTTGATCTTCATACTGTTGTTCTCTACACAGTACATGATTCTGTTCGTCCAAGTGCTAGGCAGGCCAATTTCCCCCAAGGTATCCCTGAGAAAATCCCACCTAAGTCTATCATAGGCTTTCTCCAGATCGATCTTGATGACGATTCCACCCTTACTCCCCTTCTTTTTACGCAAGGTGTGGAGAACCTCTTGAAGGATGATGATGTTGTCATTGGTCTGGCGTCCCGGGATAAAGCCACTCTGGGTTGGAGCGATAAGTTTACTCATTAGAGGCTTTAACCGGTTCGTGATGGCCTTCGTGATAGCTTTCAGTCCCACGTTGTTGAGGCAGATAGGGCGGAGTTGTGCCGGTGTCTCCGGGTGGTCGACTTTGGGAATGAGAATAATGGAAGAATCCAACATTTCTGGTGGTAGGGTACCTGTTTCAAAAAACGAGGTAGCCATATCAGTTAAGTTTCTTCCTACCGTTCCCCACAATTTCTGAAAAAACACAGCTTGAAAACCATCCGGGCCAGGGGCCGAGAAGGGCTTCATGCCGAAAACATCTTTATGAATATCAGATATGGTGAAGGGGCGTAAAAGAGTAAGGAGCTCCTCCTGATTTAGCCTTGGAAAGCTAAGTTTGGTCATGAGATCCTCATAAGGGACGTCCTCCTGTTTGTAAAGAATCTTGTAGAAATCCACCACTAACTCCAGCAGTTTCTCCGACTCGCTAATCCAGTCACCATTGCCGTCACGCAGGGCCAAGATTTTGTTCCTTCTGCGCCGCCTTGTTGCCTGCTGATGGAAATATGACGTATTTTGTTCACCTAGCTTCACCCACTTCTCCTTAGCTCTTTGAAACCAAATCACTTCTTCTTGAGCAAGGAGTAAATCGAGTTCAGCTTCAAGTTTGGCTTGCAATTTAACCAGCCCCTGATTGAAGGCCGAGGCCAATCTAGTTTGTACCCCGAGGATCCTGGCCAGGAGCCGTTTCTTGCGCTGGTGGATGATGCCAAAGACCGCCTTATTCCAGTGCTGAAGTTTAGGAGCGATGTCTTTGAGGGCTTGATGGAGCTCCAAGTCGTTATTCCACGAATCTGCAAAAAAATCAACAAACTGGTCGTGCAAAAGCCAAGCTCCCTCAAACCGAAATGGTTTGTTGAAGCTATGGAGGTTAGATGAAGCGGAACTTGAAGTAAGAATAGGGAGATGATCCGAGTGCAGCCTTGGCAAGTGTTGAACCGAGCTATTCGGAAAAGCCAGATTCCAATTAGCGTTGCACAAAGACCTGTCGATTCTGCTAGCCTTATGAGTAAGATCAGTATTTCCCCTGAACCATGTGAATCGAGGCCCTGAAAAGCCCAGGTCGAGCAGTTTGGCAGCATCTATCCAGTTCGCAAATCTTTGACATCTTCTCATGGCTGCTTGTGAGATTGATCCTGCCTTCTCTGAGGGGGAACGAAAAGCATTGAAATCACCTGTCACAAGCCAAGGGATGTCAAACAGATCATTGGTTTTTTGGAGCTGTTCCCAGAGGAGAGAGTGGAACTTATAATCAGGGCTTCCATAAACACCAGTCAGCAGCCAGTCAGGAATAGCCTGACTAGAGGCTCGAACAGTAATATGCTGAGGGCTGGCGTCGACCAGGTGAACCTGGAAGATATCAGGTTTCCAGGCTAACCAAATCCCTCCTTTGCGCCCGACAGCATCAACGCGCAAGACCTCAGGGAACCCCAGCTTGCTGCAAACCGTCGTTGCTCTATCCCCACTGATTTGAGGTTCAAATAAGAGAAGGAAATGCGGTTTATAAGTCTCGATGAGGAATTTGATTGACCTCCGAAACTCCTTGCTACCTGCTCCACAGACATTCCAAGCGAGAATATTGAAGTTTGGGTTAGTAGACATTGACATATAATAAAAGAAAAAGCCAAATAAAAACATCACAGCAGCCATAGTCGACAATCAAGGAGGGGCAACTGATGCACTCTGGTTCTCCCCCGAGGATGTCAAGTGAATTGAAGGGTTGTCCTCCAAAGTCTCTGTCATGACGACATCGCCAGCTTTACTTCCCTTCGCAGCCTGAAAATCTGTTTGCTTGTGTTGGGATTGGGCGATAAGCTCCTCGATGGCGTTGATGGTGACTGGGAAGGCGGCTTCCTTTAATCTATTGGTCAGTTCCCGCTTGTTAATTGCCACTTGAACTGGCTTTTTAACCGCTTTCAGCTTGACTCCTTTGTTGAGCTCCTTGACCGGCGGTTGATCTTTTTGCTTCTTCTGGTAATGGAGTCGAACAGATGAGGAAGACTGAGAGTTGGGATCCTTGTTTTCTTTGAGGGTTGAAGACAGAGGAGGGACCGAGATCAGGTGGATCGTAGTGTTGTTTGCACCCAGAATAGTATGGGTTTCCGGCCCCATTTTTCCAGCAGGCCCGGTCTTTAATGAGTTTGATGTGGACGCTTCAGTGGGCTGGGCCTGGGCTTGGTCTCTTAGAGGCTCACGCTGGGCAACGGCTCTCCATTCTTTCACTGGTTTATCAGGTTGGGACTTTCCTCCTAGAGTTGGATCCTCACTTGTCACTTCTTTCCCTTTATGCTTCGAAGAGGGACCCTTTTTGTTCGCTGATTGATTGTCAACCTTCCCTTTTGTTTCCATCAATCCTGTTGATTTCGAATCCACCTTCCCTTTCGGAGCTGATTTTGCTTGGGATTTTCCAGAGGTTACGATAGCCATAGGAGGAAGGTGAGGAGCCCTGCCCGGATTTGTAGTTCCAGATTTGGAAGTTTTCCGTGATTTCCTTGTAACTTGCATCCATGGGCCAAAGCCGGCCGGTGGTTCCGCCGGAGTTTCGTCGGGAGAAACCTGATGATGGGCGGTTCCTGGAACAGGGACGATGGCCAGAGGTTGCCTGTTAACCGTACTGGGACACTTGTCTTCTAGATGCCCAATTCTCCCACACTGGAAGCAAATCTCAGGAATATTTTCATAGAGAACCTGTTGCCAGAAGCCGTCTAATCTGATCCACGTAGGCAGAGATTTTGTCATGTCGAGTTCGATGGCTAATCTTGCAAATTTTCCACGTTCTAGCTTCTCAGTGTGATAGTCGAGCTTCACCGTCCGGCCAATTAGATTCCCCAGCGCAAACAAAACCTCGCGATGGTAGAAGTGAACCGGTAACTCTGGCAATTGAACCCAGGCCACTACTCTCCGATGAGGCTTGTCAGATGTTCGGAACGCTGGTGACCACTGGTGAACGATCAGATAGTGATCAAGAATCACCCATGGCCCTCCCGTTAGCGCATGTAGATAATCCTGATCGCTGCCAAAAGTCACCAAGAAAGTTTCGTCATTTAAATCTATAATATCAAGAGAACCTACCGGCCGCCATTTCCAGCGGAGTTGAGAGCATAAATAGGCGTATGAAACGGATCGGCCGAGCAATCGAACAACTAGCGTCTTCTTCCACGGATCACATAGCCGTTCTTTGAACTTGGTAGAGATTTTGAGCTCTGGTTCCCCGTTGAAGGAGCCAGATTCAAGATCATGATCTCCAACAAATGTCCATTGATTGTCCTTCGAGGAAGGGAATTGAGAGGATCCTGCCAGAGCATTTTTGTACGACAGGGCAGCGGAGTTCACCAAGGGGGATGTTGCTAGAGGTTGAGTGGCGACGGTCGGTCCAGCTATATCCGTTGGCCGTCCCGCCTGGGGCAGGTCCGCCGTCGGAGGAATTTCAGAGGTGTGACTTGAGAGCATTTCAGAGGTCCTATACATATATTGTTATGTCATATATATGCATGGTTAAACCATAGATCGATAGACTAATTAAGGAGATGCAAATTAAAGCATATTGGATTGGGTATTGCTCATGAATAATAATAACATTAATTAATTATTATTATTATATGAAGGCAGCTGGGGACAGACAGCCTAGAGAATGAAGGCAGGTGGATATATATGAGAAGTGAGATCAGTCGTTGCTTTCATAGGACAAAAGGCTGATTGGTTCGACCCATTAATGTTTGTTTGTGATCAATCAAACTAATAATTAATTGATAAACCAGAAAGATTCAACCAACCCATATTGTTACATATATAAATTAATCATAAATTGCATGCCTAACTAGCTAGTAGCTAGCTACTTGATAGCTGATCAGTAAACACAAAAGAGGGTAACTAGCTAGCTACATGGGGGAGCTAGCATTTGATTAACTATAAAATATTAAGTACAATTAAGTAAGATCTCACGAACAAATTTTAAGTACCAAACTGCCTTTAGGTTCATTCATAAAATACATTAGTTAATTACTTAATTATTCGAGTGAACTAGTTCTTCAATGTAACCGAGGATGAAAACTTCTACCACATCAAGTCTCGCTCATTTGGATGTAACTTTGCTTGTTGTATCTTGCAAGAATCGAAAAGTAATTTTGGTTATATATCATAAGTTTTAGATATGTACATTTGTGTGTACATATGTAGTTATAAATAATCTCAAATGCAATAAAAAGTCGAGGATTTTGTCAACCATAGGAATGATCAAATCAGTTACCTATTCAAAAAATATAAATATGCACTTCATTGGATGAAATAAAAATTTAGTAGTTCCATCTTCATCAAGAAAAAGCTTTAGTAGTGCCAAAGAATTCATTAGGAGGAAGGTGTTTACACCTAAAATATTATTTTTAATAATTACTATATTTTTGCGGCGTCGTGAGTGCAACCACGCCGCGAGGTAACAGTATCGCGATACGTAGCGGTGCCGCAAGTTTAACGGCGTTGCGAGTTCGACAACGGCATCGCAAGATTGACGATGCCGCAGTCACGAGTTCGACAATGCCGCAAACTAAATACTGGGAGAACAACGGTGTTGCAAGGTTGAGATCTCAAAGACACCGTGGCGGGTGTCAACGCCGTTGTTGCGATTGCAATGAGGTTGGGATTTTGATAGCACCGCAACATTGTTTAGTCAATACAATGGCGATTAGGTCAAGTCTAGCTGCATTCCGAATCTAAGCTCATCGAGGCAGCATGACATCGTGAGATTCTACAATGCCACGGAGTTAAACGGTGCCGCAAAGCCAACACCGTGGTGGATCTCAACGGTGTCGTAAGTTCAATAACGCCATGGATTAACCGGCTTCGCGAGCTGAACGATGTTGGGAGTCCAATGGTGGTGTGGGGTGAAACAACAATGTTGTTTAATCGATGGCGGTGTCGTGATTCGAACCGTGGTGGTACAAAGTTGATGTGTGCACGTGACTTTTACGCAAGGAAGATTGGAGAACGGACGCGAGGCAGTTGAAGACTACGACTCCATGGAGAAGAGTGAAGACATGTGGGAGTTTACGGCGAAGCAGTTGAGGAAGCAGTTCCGCGGAGCGTGAAAACTACGCAATTGATTTCAAATAAAATCACCGGAGCAAGGAGAGAGGACAACCAAATCAACACAGAAACACATATGTCAAACTTTACCTTTTTTCTCTGTAACTCCTTCGCGGAGCTCTCCTTCCAGGAAGGATCTCCATAGTTGTAGTCTTAGTCGTAGTCGCGGAGCTCTCCACAGGAATCTCCATAGGAGTAGCGGTAGCGTAGATTCCTCAAAACTCAAACACCCTCGTTCGAACGTAGTTTGGAGAGGTGCGAACCGTAGTAACGGTCTTTCTTGGTTAGAAGTCAGAGGTGCATCGATCAAATCAACACCGCCCGGCGGTGGATATTTGACGGTCACGTTGATTTCACCATTCAGAGGTGCATCGATCAAATCAACATCGCACAGCGGTGGATATTTGACGATCGTCATCGTTTTCAGAAGTCAGAGTTGCACCGATCAAATCAACGACGCCGACATTCGGCGGCGGATATTTGACGGTCGTCTCGATTTCAGCTATCAGCGGTGCATTCGATCAGCGGCATTGCAAGTGTTTCCACCGCGAAACACCAAATCAACATCGCCGGAAACGAATTCGGCACCGGCGGTGGCATTTGGTTTTCCCGAGGAAACATTTTGGCACACCTGGTGGGACGCGTGTGTTTGATATGGCTCTCCGACGAGGAAAAGAAGATGGTGGTCTTCCACAAGGATATGGGGAGGAGGATCAGATGGCCAACATCGAGATTGACGACGTTGTAGGCGATTCAATCAACAATGATGGAGCGGAGGTGAAATCAGTGGTGCAAATCGCTGATCAGGGTGAGATGCAGCGCATGCTCCGCCAAGTAGTGGCTAAACTCAGCAGAGATAGCCAACAGGTAAATCTCATTTTAACTTCTCTTGATAAAAAAATTGATTATCTTGAAAAAAACATAGATCAATGGTTTGATAAGTTGGACGACTCTGTTTCTGATTTTACTATTTCAATACGTGGAGCCACGTATGATTTTGATGTGTTTAAATCCTCGAATCATGTCTGTTGTGTGTGAGGATGCGATGGTTGGTCGAATAGCTAATGTCAACCAAACTCCATCATCGATGGCTACAACATTGTTGCCAGAAGTGAGTGAATCCAATATGTTCTTTCCTGTGAACAACGTTGTTCTTAAGGACACACCAGTTGGAAGTGGCTTGAAGAAGCCACTACAAAGAAGTTAATATCGGCTTACTTCTAGTAAGATTGAAAACAAGAACCAGGGTCGAGAACCTGGTTATAATCACATCGAGTATAGCAAGCTCACGTATGAGGGGTTGTCCAAGCAACATCGCAATGGTGTGCAATCTAAGCCGCTAGGGAGGCATGAGATCCCACCGCATGGTCGGTTGATGGAAAAACAACATCTCAAGTGGCAAATAAATTTTCCAAATCTGTCCTATTCTAGGAAAATTCAAACAAGGATGGCAGCAAAAACTTTGCAGTGTGGGGGTGGTAGCCACGTGAAAAAACCCAATGCCACCAAAGTTGGCATGAATCAACAAGATCCTCTATGTAAATTGTCCCCAAAACCCCCACTGAGTAGAGAGGGGGGCAAGTTCGATCAAACCCGACATGGGGTTGCCACACCAGTGCTGGCTGGGAACAAATCCATGAGTGGTGGTCTAGGGGGCAAGGCCAATGCCAAACAAACTCCAAACTCACGTGGAATTTTAAAAGGGGAAACGTTGTTGTGTGATAGGTGCAAAAGTTATGTTCGTGCTAAGCAAAATACCAACGTACCTGTTGATGAAAAGTCTCGGCGCTCATACTACCAACAACATGGTGAGAGTGCGAAGCTGACAAAACTAGACCAGTCTAGGCAAGCGATGTCGCATGGTCGAATTGGCAAGACAAAGGTGCCAAAAAACGGGAATGTCCTGTTTAGAGCCAAGAATGCTTATGGTTTTCCATTCCGTGAAGCTAAGATTAGGCCAAATCAGGATCTTGGAGTTTCGAACAAAGATGTTCGAGCTATACGAACTAGGGATTTGCAAGTCAACATTGATTCCAAAACATCAAAACCGAAGCGTGTGAAGCCAGCGGTGATGAATCATGGACTTTACGGATGGCTTGTTTGGTTTGATCCATGGAGTTGGCAGTGGGTGTGGACTTTTGGCATGATGGTTTATGTCAAAGCCTAATTTGTTTCTTATTTAGCTATTGATAAATAATGTGGTCAAGTTAGGCCACGTGATATTTTTTTTTAAAAGAGAAGGAAAAATATTATAAAAAATAATAATCAAGCAACACTGTTAAGAAGAAGCAACAACGTTGTTGGCAATGGTTTAAGATGGCCAGTGGTGTTGTTTTCTATTTTCTCAATAGTGTTGAGGGATGCACACCGCTATGAGACAACCCCGTATTGTTTTGAAAACAATATTATTATTTTTTAAAAGTAATATGTCGTTGTTTACTCAAAATAGCGTTGCGGGGTTGTGATGCGAGGCCGCTAGGTTTACTTTCAGTGCGGCCTGCTCGTTAGATTTTTAATAATAAAAAAAAAACTGAATACCGCTGATTTGGTTTGAGCAACGCTGATTTGGTTTGAGCAACACTGCAGCGGTACTGATTACTGCAATACCGCGTTGCGGACTAACTCAGTATTGTTTTGTTTTTTTCATACATCTAGCATGTGGCGGCAGGATTGTTGAAAAAACGAAGTTGTACTGCTGCAGTAATAGAAGAAGTGCCGTTTATTTAGGGTAAACAGTATTGCAGAGCTTGCCTCAATGTTGCGAGCAAGACTAAAAGAACCAAAGGATTGGCCGGAGGGCTGTTTTATATTTGATCGGTTTGGGCCAAACATGATTGCGAGCCGTTGTAACTTGCAACATCACTGGGGTTTTTTTTTTCCTTCTTCTTCTTCTTCCTCCTTTCGTGTCGTTGGTCCGATATTAGAAAAAGAAAGAGACCAAAGAAAAGTAGAGAAGGAGGACTGTTGCTACGTGGGCGGCTTGTGGGCTTAAGAAAAAAAAATGAATGAAAAAATGATTTTTATGGCCCATGATAAATAAATAAATAACACAGGATTGATACTTGCTGCTGCAGCTTTGCGGCAAGAGAAGGGAAAAGGAAAAAGGCCAGCGGTGATGAGATTAACAACCACATTATTGATAATTATTTATTATTTTGTTGTTGTTGCAAGGCGGTGTAGTTTTAGTTGCCGCAACATTGAGCAAAATAAATCCACTTTGTTTTGGGCGAGGCCACGCAACTGGCCAATATAGAGGGCTGGATCCACAGCGTTGCGAGGGGAAGGATGCAGTGATGATTTTGTGAGAAGCCGCAATCATGCTAGCTATATTCACGAAAAAATGACTAAATGAGCAAGCAACCCTATTTGTG